ATTTCTTCTTTAGAGAACTGTCTATTCAGCTCCTCTGCCCATTTTTTAATTGGATTATTTGCTTTTTGTTTGTTGAGGTGTGTGAGCTCTTTATATATTTTGGATGTCAACCCTTTATCAGATCTGTCATTTATGAATATATTCTCCCATACTGTAGAATACCTTTTTGTTCTATTGATGGTGTCCTTTGCTGTACAGAAGCATTTCAGCTTGATATAGTGCCACTTGTTCATTTTTGCATTTGTTTCCCTTGCCCGGGGAGATATGTTCAAGAAGAAGTCACTCATGTTTATGTCTAAGAGATTTTTGCCTATGTTTTTTTCTAGGAGTTTTATGGTTTCATGACTTACATTCAAGTCTTTGATCCATTTCGAATTTACTTTTGTGTATGGGGTTAGACAGTGATCCAGTTTCATTCTCTTACATGTAGCTGTCCAGTTTTGCCAGCACGAGATGGTTTTTAATTTATAATAAAAGAAGATAAATTTCCAAATTTAATCTCCTTGAGATCTTTATTTTAATCTCCCTAATCATCAAGATTACTCAGAGTATTTGTTTGGTAGGCCCCTTCGAGCATAAATATTTGCCTTTTACCTTCCTTACCAGCATGCAAAATGATACTTGCTGAGGAGATGAGCAGGAAACCTCAGCTGTGGACTACAGGGGGCCCATATCCTGACCTAAGATTAATAAGTACATGCAGGCTCTGCTTAAAAGGGATGTTTTTGAAGCATTGTAGCAAGAATGGATTGGCGTGGGGTGGAGAAAAAACAGTCAAAGGTAATGTAAGCTGGCCAGAGGGCGAACATCAGACTTGAAATCAGATCATGCTCATGGCTGTAAAGACATGTTAGAAGACAAGTTAGATTCCCATGGTTAGAAGAGGAACAAGGTGCCCTGTGCTGATATTGGCAGCTTGGTTCTCAAAGGCACTTGCTGGCTCATGCCTCTGCATGCATTCCCTGTGCTACTGAAGTAAGACAAGGAAGAGAGGAGGGAGAGGAGGGTGAAGAAACCCTAACAGGCACCATCCCATGTCACCTGTGTGCAGGCGCTGATAGTCATGCCCCCCAACAGGCTCTCCGCTTATTCAGAGGAGGTCCTAAACCGTTACTGCAGCCACAGAGCCCTCCATGACACTCTCCCCACGGCGCCTGCCTCTCACCATCCTCACCCTATATGTTTATGGAACATACCAAGCAAAATCCTTAAAAAGCACTCAGAGCCTTTGTGTTAGCTGCTTCCTCTCCCCAGAATGTGCTCTCCCCTCTCTCCCCCCACAGCAACATGAATGCTCACTTATTTCAGGTTTTTGCTCAAATATCACATTATCATAAGGGTTGGAATCATTCTTAATAAAATAAAAATTTCCCAGAATTCTCTATGCCCCTTATTCTGCTTGATTTCTCTATATAACATTTATTGCTACATGACATATTAGACATCTATCTGCACCTGTTTTTATTTTCTGTCTCCCCTCCTTGCTTAGGGTGTAACTGTCACAAGAACAGACTGTGGCTGTCCTATCTACCACTCTGTCTTCAGCATCTAGACTTATCTGCCTGGCATGTGGTAGCTGACCGAGAAAGAACTGTGAAGAATGAATGAACAGTAGTCTCGATTCAGATGACAAATTCAGACATCGAGTACTTTATCCAGATTACCTAGAAAGTGAAATATTTCTCCTGTGCTGGACCCAACAATGTCTGTACTTCCTTAGATCAACATAAACAACATTCAAATTTGAAGCTGATGTTTAGTTTGTGTATACATATGTGTTTAATAACTTGCATAATTAGACTAGTTAGCAAATCTGGCCAGAAGAATGGGTTAGAGAACCAAGCAACTTTTTCAAGAATTAGTAAATACAGTGAAAAAGTAGGTGGGCACATTCTGGATCCAAAAATCTCAGGAACAGAAACCCTTCACTCTGATCCCCAACTGGGTGAAGTAGCATACACTCTGTGAAACTCAGACACAATCCATGACCAGAAGAGTGAGAGGGAGCCCTAGTTTTAATCTGATTGCTAAAGTTTACATTTTTATTTAATTTGCCACCCAGCTAAATGGGAGGTGGGGGATTAAGTTATAAAGAAATAGTAACACTTCTTCCACATTTGAATTTGTGATCACAGGTGTTATTTGCAGCCTAAGTTAACACACACACACATATAATAGAACTCCTTCTAAACGGCAGATGAGCTTTCTGAATCCAGAGGGCAGGGGAATGAGGCTCCCTTTTAAAGTGTTTTGAGAGCTGGACTAGAAAAGGTATTCATCTCAGCTCTGAGACGTCACTCTCACAGTGGGTCAGATCTGTCCAGCTTCACCAGGTTCAGCTCACAGAACAAAAACGTGACCAGACCAACTTGATTCTAACAAAATTCACATCACTTTTTTCCTATTTCCTCTTCTTCTATGCCTACTATAGTTGAGCCATTTTCTTGCCTTTCTCCAAGTAACCGTACATTATTACATATCTTGTTGAATTTCTCTGTGACATTAAGGAAAAAAACAAAAATTTTAATGTATTAGGAATTTCTGGGAAAATTGCCCTTTAGCTTGCAACCCATCACACATCGTGAGGAACGTGCGTCGCCTGTGAGCCAGGAGCCAATGCCCGGCACAGCTCTGCCACCAGCAGTTTAACTAGGGATTCAGGTTGACTTCCACACAGGAAGTGACGCTATTAAGATTACAATGGAAATCCATCTTTTAATAGCATAAATGTATATGCACTTACATCACACAGCACGTGTTCCACCTTCACGTGTTTTAACAAGAAAATAATGAAATCAATACAAATTATGTAAGAACTTAGTAGCAAATACTCAGGTTTCTTCCGGAATCATATCGCATCTATTAGTTCCTCCCAATGTAAGACACCAGCTCATAATAATACCCAAACTGTGTATTTGCCTCCCACGTGCTTGATGCCCAGGACACAGAGGATGAGGATGACAGTAAGAGCTCAGCTGCAGGCATTCCCGCCCATGTTCGGCTTTTCAATGGGCTTTTGAAGAGGTTCCTGTTTTTGAAGTCGAATGCACTGCAACAGCGCGTCCCTGGCACTGCCCGTGTGCATTGTAGCCCAGGTGCCTCCTCCTGCTTGTCCTCCAGCGCAGCACAGGTGTGAGCGACTGAGGGCCCGTCCTCGCTTGCTTGTGGGTGCCTGCAGAGGAGCTGGAGGTAAAGGCAGGGCGCCAGGCATCCCCTGCCAGGGACTCGGGGAACTTCGTTTACTTGGTCCAAAGAACACCAGCTGCCAGTTTATCTTGAAGGCAAGTGTGGTTTTTTTTTTCCCCGTTGTGGTGAAAAACACATAGCATGAACTCTACCCTCAGCAGTGTTTTCCTGCCCAGGAAGACACTGATGACTGTAAGCATGATGCTGCCCTCACAGCTTGCATGACTGAAACCGAGCCCCCCTCTCGCTCCCGGTGGGCGGCCCAGGAGCAGCAGCCCCGGCAGTGCCCGTGGCAGCCCAAAGGGTTTCCTCCTGGGAGGTGAGCAAGGAACGGGTTCTGGGGCTAGATACGGTAATGGTTGCACAACATTTGAATATACTGGAAAACACTTAATCATACATTTTTAAACGGTTTAAGTGACTCACTTTATGTTATGTGAATTTTACCATAACTAAAAGAAAATGAAAGTAAAGGGAAAACGAGAGTTCTGAGGCTCAAGTAGATGGAATCAAAGTAAATGGTCAGAATAGAGGGACCTGCACACTTCATCTGAATACCATGTGGTTGAGCCGCTGCATCTTCAGGTTTCTGTCCATGCACTCAACGTCAATTCTGACTAACACAAGAGCCAGAGAGAAGCTGTCCTTGGGGCTGGGATTAACCTCCTCTGTTTTTTTTTTTAATTAAAAATGTTATCAATGTTCATTGTAGAAAATGAACACAAAATATAAATCAACCATAGTTCCATTGTCTGGAAAGATCTACTCAGATCTTTTTTTACATATGCAAGCATAAACTTTTCCCTAAAAAGAGATTAGATACTATTTTGCAGTATTTGCAGTATTATACAACTACGTGATTTTATTGTCTACGTACCTAACACTTATGAATCTTTTATTATGTACAAGCCGTGTTCTATGTGCTTAAAATATATGAACACATTTACTCATTCCAACACAATACTGTGAGGTGGGTATTATTATCTGGATTTTAAACATGAGAAATCTTAAGATTTAGAGAGGGGATATGTAGCCTTTCTAAAGTCACGCAGAGTAGGTGGCAGAGCCAGGTTTCAATCAAACAAACTCTAATGTCCACTCTTCTCGACCTATGACCTAATGTTTAATCAAATCGATTCTTCTAAATATTTGGAACTTACCCAAAATCTTGCTGTCACAAACAAAACCCAACAAGCACTCTTGATGTCAACTATGTACACACAAATAATCATAATAAAATTCCTGAAACTGAAATTGTGGTTCAAATTATATTAAAATGTAGAGCTTTTGATATAACTCAAATTTTTGAAATGGTCAGTCTTACATTTGTGGGAAAGTACACACACACACACACACACACACACACACACACACACATACACAGCCTGGGGAAAAGATTCGCTGTGAAGTTCACAGCACCATAATTTGGTTGTGATTAAAGCTAGAAGATCGTATATCCTGTAGGTGGCAGAACCAAGATATGGAATATAGCTTGCTTTTTTTCTTTTTTTATCTCTTCATGTTTCCCCTTGACTACAATGTTCCTCTAAGTAAGAATGTTGTACGAGACTTTTATTTCTAGGACACTCTGCAATTGCAACCACCTTCTAATATTTCTTTACCCAATCAAAATCAGACAGACACGTGATGACAGACACACTCAGATAGATATCATTTGTAAAGCTGCACCCCCAATAGTGAACATATAACTGATGCTGACAATCTGATGATTACCCGCTCACCAAAATATTCCCCAGTTATATCAGTTATATATCATTACTGAGAATCTAGTTCCATGCCAGTCTTAAAAACAATTTTGCAACATGAGCACCTTGAAATCATTTAATCTCTAAATACAGCAAAGACAAGCAATCGAGTTAACATTGTTTAATAACATTCTAGATATGCAAATAAGATTTTACACACCGATTTTTGCTTTTTTTAACCCGCCATGTTTCTTTAAAAGCACAGTAATTTAACAGCAAAACTAAAGCTCTGTTTAAAACATTGAAAAACAAACCTCACTGCCTTGTAGATGCTTAACTGCTTCCATCTAAAAGTGTGAAAAAATAATCCGTACACTTGCATTAAAAATTCAAGAACATCCTCTGGGGAAAAAAAATGAAATTTTTTAAAAAGACATTTCCTTTCAACACTAAAATAGCATAATTTTACCCTACACATGTAAGAAGAATACTACATGTTAAAAATGCTTACACTAAAAATAAAAAAAAAATATCTTTAAAAGGAAAATGCCCTTTCCAGAAGTCTAGGTCTAAAACTTTAGATTTCAGGGGCAAATTAGGAAACAGAAAATGTAGCATTCGATAAAAAGTCTTAGACACACATTTAATTGAAGGCTTAGTGCCAGCGGGCTGCATAAGGACTAACGCATTCCCTAAGAACGCACTGTTTGTTTTGCACAACCAGTTGAGGCCCATCCTGCAAATGCCTTTAGACTCATCCTGCCATCAGCTCTCTCCTCCTTGACTCCACACTCCAAATAAGGTGAGGCAGAGAGGGCTGGCGATGTTTCACTCAAATCAATGGCAGCTGCCACTGGTCTGGGAAAAGACAAGGCAGGGTCTGGCCTGGGAAAATCTAGGGAGCGACCTCCACTGCCTTTCTTACCGCCCACACACTTCTGAGGCCTCTACCCTTACCAGTGGAGACCTGAGTTTTCATGTTGCTCTCCCAAATTTTACATTTGCATAAAATAAAGTCCAAATACCCCCCTAGGCTTGTGATCTCCCCAAAGTCCCTCTGTCCCGAAATGACCACTAAATCTTTTTTCTTTCCTATTTCCTATTTCTTAACCACATTCCTATTTCTTCACCTATTTAAAAAATCCTCATAAGAAAGTAATCTCAAAAAAATTGATTCATACTGAAGGGTGACTGACAGCCTGGACTATTTGCTCCTAAGTATTACTAACACTGGGAGAGAGAAATGGGCCAGACGGGAGGGCTGGATTTCCTCGATTGACATAGATGTCACTTTAAAACAAGGCAGTGAAGAGGGAACTGACACTTCACAGTTCCCAGGCTCTGACCAGAACACAGAGTGGGGAGGGGTCTGTGGGCTCCTATCAGAGACAGTCATGCCCACCTCAGTCCTTTCAGTAAAATCTGCATCCCAACTCCCTTAACCCTCGAAAATCTGACCTAGAGGATATGGTTATTTGGCTCTAAATTCTCAAAATGTCAGTTGTTAGCAGAGAGAAAGAAAATGGTGATAGAAGATTTATGTTTATCGTAACTAGGTTTAAAAAGGTTATTAGTATTAGTTCTAAGAAAACTAATTAGTTTATCTGGAACCTTGCTAGCCCAAGTCAGGGAGCCCTAGCCACACAGCGGTGCACCAGTTTGCGCCTCGCTTACCGATGCAGAGACCTGCTGTCCCACTCGGCTCCCTCCCCACTGAAACCATCTGCTGTATGCAGCTTGAGACACATCACACACATGTACATGAACCAGTTCCTGGCAGTGCTCAGTGACCACCAGCACATCACAACTAAGCGAGACAGGCTCTTTTCTAACCCTGGATTCCTAGTGGGACAAACCCAGCCTCGTTTAAATTCTTATCTTCCCCTTTGGTTTTCATTTTGTTTTAAATCTTTCTAGTTATGTGTGTGTGTGTATGTGTGTATGTGTGTGTGTGTGTGTGTGTGTGTGTGTGTAAGTACCTGTTGTATGGGTATGTGTACCTGTGTGTGTATATATATACAGGTTTCCCCAGTTACCTGAAAGCATGTTCCTATGAAACTTTCATAAGCCAAAATGGCATAAAATAAAGAAGCAATTACCTTTAATTCATATTGAAAATCTGAGCATTCCCAGACCCAAAAAATCAACTCTTCTAGCTTTTTGATACCTTAGAACACATGCTGCTAACAAATGCATAAAACATGACAGGAAAGACAGATGCTCCCAGTTGGGAGCTTGGTGGCTGCCTGCTGAGGGGCTGCAGGTGGTCCTGGGCAGGGGTCCTGGCCTGCCCTTCTCACCACCTGTGCTGTAGCCTCCACAGCAGCCTCACAAAGCAACGCTGAACCCAAGCTTGGCTTTTCACTTTTTTTCAAAAGAGTGAAAATCCTCTTTGAATTTCTTTCAGTTAGTGAAAGCAGGTACTAATTTAGGTGTTTCAGAAAAGCAAAGTGGTGTAACACAAACTTTCAAGAAGTGAGGGGTGTGTGTGTGTGTGCATGCATGTGGTCAATTCAACCTATATACATAAAGAACACTGCAATTTCATGGGCTCACTCAACACATTTTGCCTCCAAGGGTAAATAAAGAATTCCTTGTTTGGGGCAAGGGGTCAGGCAGCAGGTCACTTCATAGCTGCAAATTTTTAAAGTTAATTTAGTCTTAATTGTTTCTCTCCCAAAAGTTACTTCAGCTGGTCATACCTGCTATTTCTTGTCTGTTTTGAAACTATCATTTGAAGTGAGTATACAATAACGTGATAGTAAATTTATCACAAGATTCGGTATTATGTTAAGTTTAAACATCACTGCTTCAGGGTATTTTGCAAGTCCTTCTGGGAGCTCTATCACATGAACAAATTAGGAAATCAGTACATTTAAGCAATGTTTTGGAAGAAATTAAATTGCACCTAGGGCTTAAGTGTTCCTATGTTTTTTGATTCTTACAGCATTTGTAATATTGATCTGCCTTAATAAGGAATAATGTATTTTATTAGAAATACATGCTCATCTCTCATTGCTACTGGTACAGAAGTCTGCTTCTTCAGAAAGCACATCTTATCTAAGGGTAACATATTCTAACTGCAAGTGACTACAATTGACAGAAAATAAAGAGTCATATGTGCTAAACTTGCAAATAGAAATATGAAAGCACTATTCAAAGAGAAGAAAAATTTTTCTCAGTATAATTTTCATGACTGGCATATTATCAATACTAGTCCTGAATCTCAGGGGAAAAAAATATTAAAACTTGATTTCAATCTCAATAGAAGATCTTTGATATTTTTCATTAAAATACTAACAATAACTCTGTGGTGAATATAGTTCTTTCTTGAGAAAAAGGAAACTGAGATATGTTCCCCCTAGCAATCCTTCTGTAAACTAAAACACACACTCAAAAGCATTAAAACAACACAGTTTTTGGTGTGTACTTTCCCGGTATAGCCTGACTCTGTGGTTATGCATTTTTAAGACCTTATCAGGGCAACTGCATACATAGGACTGCTCTTCACAATCTAGTCATAACCAGAAGGAAAATGAAATTCTAGTAGTCTGGGAAGCTACTAACTAGGTGCTACCAATATCTTAGAGATAAAAAATACAACATAATTTACCATAATATTTTATAGAATTCCATTCCACTTAAATCTAAATGTAGAACAAGAACAGAATTTTTAGCCCATACAGCTGTTCTACTATATTTGATCTAATATAGCTTAGCTAGCATTGGACTAATGTTTACCTATTTATCGGGCAAGTATCTGTAAAGAAGAGCAAACCCTTTATAGACCTAAATCCCAATGCCATAGCATGAGATTGCTAGTCGTCTGTTCAAGGGTAAAGAAGGCAAAATATGCCTTAACATTTTAAACTTCTAAGCAAATAGAAGCACAAGTTGTTATAAAAATACAAATTGGTTAACAGCGTAATTCAAATTTTAGAAAAATTCACATACATATACACATATATGAAACTGAAATTGAATTTTGCAATATTCCTTTTGGAAACCTCCAGAATGATGTCTCTCAAAGACCCGTTTAATTGTAGCACTTTAACATTATCTCTTTGAGCATGTTTCTGCTAATGCAGTAAATTTGGCTTCCAAATTATTTAAAAAGTCCAGGCCATCTTCTTCCTGCTTTTCACTGCAGCAACCTACAGACCCTGCTGGGGACCCTCTTCCTTCATAGTTGTATGTAAGGACATAATCTTGAGACGGCATGAGGTCTTCACTCTGATTACATAGATGCAATTTCTGTAAAATAAAAAGAAAGGGCTGCATTATTGTTTTAAACACAATTAAGCATATGAACATAGAATTTTATAGTTTTTTTATTTACCTTTTATGTTTAATTTTTAACCAGTGTGTCCTCTAATGGAGTCCTATATATAAAAAATGCAAATGATTGGTCTGTATCACAACCATACCATAAAGTCAGTATATTTTACATTTCTAGTAATCCATACAAATAAAAAATTATATACTCAAATGGTATATTTAAGTACATTTAAATCACCATTAAATGCTCATTCCTAAGTCTTGTATCTAGGTCAGGCAAGTCCACAAACAGTGACAACACACATAATGGTTAGGAATTTGAGCTTGGATAGTCACTCTGTCATAGCTCTGGCTTCACCAATCAGGTCTATGACTTTGAGCAAGTCACTGAACATCTTTTAGGCATATCTAAAATGGAAATACAGACAGCGACTGTCTCACAAGATCATTATTAAATGATGAAATAATAGTGCAAGAAAGATACCCATGTTATGCCCAGGACAAAGTAAATATTCAATAAATGTTAACTAACACCTCGATTACATGCAGCTATAAAGAAGATAAGAAGGACCACATTGGCTTCAGCATCAAGTTTCTAAGGCAACCAAAACACACACAAAACATTTCAGTGAAATTAAAAATAATCAACATAACCCACATTGCAAAAACCACACCTTTCAAATGCAGAGGCCAAGCCTTCAGCCACATGTGCCCTCACTCTGTCACTGGCCTGTCTGCCGACTCACCAAACCCCTGTGCCTCCCCCCATCTGGCCTGTGCACCACTCCCTCTAACCCAGAGCACATTTCCTTGGCTTATGTTATCTGGTGTCTTCCTCATGAACATTTAAGCCTCATAGCCCAACACCTGATGTAGACATAGATGAAACTCCCAAGAGTGCTTCTTAAGCTCCCCTCCTTCCCAACCTGATCTCACATGAATACTGACTGTTTAGAAACAGTAAAAGGATTAACACTTGAATTTGGCAGGAAAAAAATGCTATGGACCTGTGATAAGCTACAGCCATGTCACAGAGTACTGCCCATTGTAATCATCAGAGAATGAAGGGCCTGTGGTCCCGCGTTTGTGTTGCCAGGGTCCTGGTGCCCTCTGATGAAAGAAGTGAACACTTAGTACCTGAAAGACTATTTAATCCCATGGTTCTGGCCCAGGCTGCACATCTGAATCACCTGAGGAGCTCTGCTTAAGAAGAAAAAGCCAAACCAATTAAAGCAATCTTTCAAGGTGGAGCTCAGGCATTAGTATTTTTTAAAAGCTCCTCCAGGATTTTGATGCACTGCCAGAAGTTAAAATCCTATATTTAATCCCTCCTTTCTTGTATATCCTTACTTTACTGTGAATAAAAGCACTTTGGATTTGTATGGTGCTTCTTCCATTAAAGACAGTTCATATAGATCATACTATTTGGTGTCATCCTGGAATTGTGTACACATTTCATATTCACAGAGAAACACAGATTTGATTTGAGGAATTCTGTGATTGTGAGGAATGAGGTTTTTTTTCATATTCTGCTACAGTAAAAGAGTTCAGGAGGTTAGCATACATCTAATAGTGAAATATAAAATATAACTTTAGTGAGGAATATTAGAAACTCCAGTTTTCATGAGATTTTAGAAATTAAGAAAAATGACAGATGGAATAAAACTCTTTTATGTTAAATAATGTAACAAAACCAAAGAGCGGTGGGGGGGGGGGGGG